CCGGCAAGGGAACCTGTGATAGTGCAGGGCACCCCTTGTCGGGGTCACCGGTAGGTGGCAACTTTTTAGATATTACTATAGTCACAGGTAACCTGGGTGCAGAGCCCGACGCCCGTCCAAGAGGGGGGCAGGGTCACTGCTCCCAGGCAGGAGCCCTGTGTTATAGGTAGGATTAGATGTAATCAAGAAGATGACAACTAGCATTAGAATAAAACATAGAGATAAGGGACACTCTATTGGAAGGGGAAAAGTGGCAGAAATCACTTACAACAAACTGCAAGTCCACTAACTAGAATATTCAGCACCAATGAAGGTTTTAAAGTAATCTGTAAAGATGACTTTGATTCAGATAAAATCCTTTCAAAAGAAGCAAGAGATATATTTTACAATGAAGGCCTTATTGTTGTCATGCCACCAGAACAAAAAGCAAAAAGATCAGTTTTTGTTCGTCAAGTCGATCAAGAGATCGTGAGGAAGACCTGAAAGAAGAACTGGAACGCCAAAATAGGTGGATGAAGATTGAAGAAGTCATTAAGATAAAGGACTATACTCATGTTTGAAGAAGTGTCAATGGCTGAGAAAGTTTTACAACAGGGCTTTCTAATATTCAACATGTCAGTCACACCACATCAAATAAAGAAGGAGACATTCATCAGTCTGCAAACTTGCTTCTCCTGCTACAAATATGAAGAACACACAACGAGAGACTGTCCGGAAAAGAAAAAAAGTACTGCTCAGATTGTGCAGGCGACGACCATACCTACACTGAATGTAAGAATACACATGTTGGCTGTCTCAACTGTAAGAGAAACGGGAATGTATACATAGGTCGTTAGTACGGCATGCCCAATAAAAACACATGATAAAGTACAAGCAAAACAAGGAAAAGGAACAAGACAAGAAGGATACGACATACGTCGAAATATAAAGAGAGTTATCCAAGAGGCTCATAATTAGAACTATATTAAACCCATGGCCAATACATGATAAGGTAATGATTAGGTGCCATCCATGCAATATTTGCACAAATATCGTTGCACCCAATCATATGTAATGAGGAATTAAGGAAAAAATAAGTTTAAAACTTGAAATAATCAGAGATGATATTTCCAGAGAATCCACAATCCGAAAAACTATTTCAGACAAAATATGCAAGCGAACTGAGAGAAAGACTACATCAAGACGAACAAAGGTTTGAGCAAGGAGCAACAGCTGATACACAAGGAACACAAGCGACTGATAGAGATCCCAGACAAATGACTAGAAGTGACAAAGAGAAGATAGAAATAACAAAAGGACAGACAAAGGAGTAGGAGGAGAGAAGATAAGATGGAAACTGATCACAATATACAACCTGAATCTGCTGAAGAAATTGGATTAAAAGTTATCACTACAACAAAACATGGAATCCAAACATCGAGACCAACAGGAGGGACAATAGTAAAAAACTGTGAAGGAGGGATATACAAGTGGACATATCAAGAAAAATCCCTAAGTGAAGATTATGTCTGGTCACTAATTACTACGGACAAACTAAAGATTACGGCCAAAGACTTTAAAATAGTAGACCCGTCAGAGTATAGAAGAGTCAGAAGCGGGAAACAGGATGATAGGTCTCCACTCCATAAGAAATAATGGACAATAGACAAACAGTAAGAACTTTAAGAATAATACAACACAACGTAAGAAACTGGAAGACCGAGAGAATTAACCTAAGTAATATATATCGCGAAATTGACCCTGACATTATACTAATAAACAGTCACGGTGAGACAGAAAACAACAACATAAAACTCTTTAACTATTATGTAAACCAAAGAAATAAATCGGGCGAGAAAATGACGGAGTAGCGATAGCGGTTAAAAGAAACTTAAAATTTAAACTAATTGATGACTTCCAGGATGAATTTCTAGCAATAAAAATAAATACAACTCAAGGAGACGTAATTATTGCTACTACTTACCTATAGAAGACCTATTAAAATTGGCTAACAATAGTCATCCGATGTACATCTTAGGAGACTTTAACGCCAGACATAGGATTTTTGACAATACAAATAATAACGTCGTGGGAAATGCCCTTAATCAATTAATAAATTTAGGGAAAATCAATCATCTGGGTCCTAACTTTCCAACCTGGAGAAATCACAATACACAATCGACACCAGACAAAATTTTTACCAACAACAAAGCCTTTTTCAATTACCATATAATACAGGCAGTGACCATCTGCCAATTATACTAACACTGTCAACAAGCCCCATACAGATACCAATAAAAAAGAGACTGAAAATGAGTAAAACAGACTGGGACAGCTTCAAAGACGACTTAAGTAATCACCACTCGATTAACCTACAAGGGAAAACAACAGAAGATATAGACTCAGAAATGGACAGACTGCACTCAGCAATAAAACATCTATAACCAAACACACTCCTACTTCACACTTTAGAACATTTACCCAACAACAGACTACCAGAAGAAGTTAAATTAATCCAGAC